CAAATAGCTGTAACCTTCTAAAACATGGGTCAATATAACATTCAAGGCAAGCTAGGTATAAACACTGACATAGTTTCACATTCAGTCTCACTCCAAAAAACACGGTGCCTTCAATTTTCTTCCCATATACAATTAAACACCAATTAATGCCATTCGGACTAAAAATGAAATTGATTAGATCTTCTAGATCGGTTGGAAATAAGACTTGAGCATTGGCGGACCGAGCACAGCGGCACGCCGTGCACCGATCGGTCGGCATCGGGTGACCGGGGCGCGACCGGCTCACTGCGTCGGCAACTGTGACCGTGGCCTGGGAGCCACGCATTTCAATCGCAAAACCAGGCACTTTGGCATCTCTCCGGAACTCTAGAACAGTATCTGAATGATGAGTGCACGTTAGTCGACCTCATGTACCTATCGTTAATGACGAGTCTCGTAGATGGCAAACGAGCTCCGGCAGCAGATCGATGACCATTATATAAAGTTCAGTTGGATCTCAGCACGAGAACAACAGACAACTGGTCTGAAGTTGCATTACTTTTTCATAATTTGTCTTGGAGCCGAAGCAAACACGCCTTGTTTGCTGTTCCGGTATGCCTGGAAGTCACACATGGAATTCGACACAGCAAGCGTCTAATTTGACCCCGGCTTCAAGTAAGCCAAGTCGGGACACCAGAGAGGCTCGGCGAGTTTGGGGCCTCATCGCCGGAAAGTCGGGGAAATGAAGAACTGCACTTTTGCTGCTTTCAGAAAGTGCGTGCAGGAATGTTCAGTGCATATTATAGTTGAAATTAGTTGAAGAAGGGCAGATGACGTTGCTGCGTGGCGTAACGATACCAGGGTGAATGAAGCGCAAATCAAGTTGCCATCATCACGAACAAGATCTGCTTAATTGTTGTCACGAAAATGCAAAATTGCCGTGCCAAACTGAAAACATTTGAAGAGCTGTTTGACCTGAATCACGAAGCAAAAAGCGTAAGCTTACGCAAAATCACTGACAGTGTTCAAGGGAAGACCTGTTCTCTACAGCGTATGGAAGACGTTGAAGATACATCGCATACGGCTGGCTGGAACAAGCGTCATCCGCTGTCTCAAATAATGATGCAGTCCCGTCAACAAGTGTGTGTAGGAACCACATAACCTATGGACACAAGCTCCGGATCGGCGGCAGGATCGAGCTCAGCCACTGAAAGGTGTGTGTCGGAACCACAGAATCTATGGTTACCTTTGGTTATTAGCCACAGAATCTATGGTTGCAGGCTCCGGATCAACGGCAGGATCGAGCTCAACCACTGAAGTACAAGCCTGGATCGCGAGATCATGATCTCGCGATTCCTGGTCAAGTCAGGATTCACGAATTTTGTGGTTATGATTCGATGGCGTAGCTCGGAACCCTCACGCATAATGACTGTCTGGAAAAATATGTTCACGTATGAGTTAACAGGAGTTTTTCTTTGACGATGCAAATACTCATCAGGAAGGATGAGTTTTGTACACCCCCGCCACATTGTTCGTGGGTTAGTCCGGTACAATAAATATAATGGTGGGATTTGTCTGTAGTGCTTTGTGCAGAATAATTCAGCGCAATTCCTTAATGCGTGTTCAATTTATTTGCCAGGGTGAGAACGGCAGCGCCCTCGATAAATTGTTCGTCGTTGCAGAGGGATGTTGAGAACGCACTGGCTCAAGAAAGTTCGAAGGAAGCTGGGCCCCGCCACGCAAGGCGTGACGAAGCTTTAGTCATCGGTCATTAACTTTGTTCGAAAAAAATATTTTATCGCAAAAGATATAGCCCAAGTACATTATTGGGAAGCCTTCTTCAGCAAGTCGCGGCTTAGCAATATGCATTCATTTATGGCATGCTTCAAAACGGGTAATGACCTCACCAGAAATATATCTGTATCATCAGTATAAATATAAAATAAATATAAAAATAAACCCATTCAACATCCACAGCATGTACCTGCCAGGAAACGGCGCTGCCCATGCTGAAAAGCTTCCATGAAGTACAAAAAACCTCATTGCTTTACCTATTGCTACCTGGCCCAGTATGAAACAAATATAATCTTTCAACATGTGTCAATATCTGAAGATTTAGGACTTAAATGTGCATTTCACTTTCTCACCGCCTTAGGAGCATCGTTAAACGCCTGACAGGATACGAAAATTTGTAACGCCCAGAACAGGACCAAATCCTGGCGTCACATGACATTTTTGGGGCTGCACTTCGAAAAAACTTGAATCTGAGTATCGCTGGTCGGTTCAATTTTTTATGCTCTGTAATGTATTGCACGAAAGCCTTTGTGGATTACAGTTCGGACTTAAAACAGTTTTGCAACAGATCACAAACTTAAACAGTTGTTTCGCCGTCAAAGACATTTTATCATTTGATGCTCTGCAACTGATGTGTAGTCCTTGGTTCAATTTGCCTCTACGATGGACCAAAATTTTTCTAAAACGTCAGCTCGCAGCTGGCAGGAATACAGCACCAGGAATCAGCAATGTTGAATTTATATAGTACCAAGTTACATCTCAAGCACCGTGGTGTGAGTTTCCTTCTACAAAGGGGAAGGAATACGATGGAATCGAAGTCGGACTGCCTACCAGAATGTTTTTAAAAAATTACACCTGCACCTCAGCCCAGTAAACTTTATGCCTAGTCTTCTAAAATCGGATGCATCAACTGATGACTGCATTGACAGAACAAACCAATGCTGAACATGCCACATCGTGCGAAGTCAGCTGATTACAGTGTTCAGCTCATTTCACTGCACACAATCACAAGCCACAACTAAAATACAGCCTTAGGAAGGTGGAAGAATTTTCTAGATGACACCCGTCGTGAAATCGAACGTTTTCAGTCTGTCTTTCTCACGAATGATGAATGCATCACTATGGCCACGAAGTCATCGTCCGGATTCAAGCAAGAAATTCAGACTCTAGTGTGCGATTGCTGCACTGAAGTGGATACATCATGTGACAGCACATCAGAAACACCCCACAGTAGGTTTGGAAAAGCTCACGATCCCTTCTTACCACTGTATATGTCTCCATCCACAAAGATCTTCACAGCGCCTGTCGTGTGATACTGCGTACAAGGATAACAAAACATTTTGAATACAAAAATACACAACAACATTTTTTATCCAAGATTGCCATCAGTGCCACTCAAGTGTCGTCAGCCACTTTAAGTAAGGCCTCAAAAACCGTAGAACATTGTGTTGAAACAATATTTTGACGGGAAGAAATATTGTGCAGACGGTGTCTAAGTCCGCGTAGGCAGCTGAATCCAATTTTCGAGCCTATATCGAATAATTGATTGACGTCATTTGGTGAGCCGAAATTATTGACACACACGTGCGTATCACCTGGAGGAAATTGGCCGAATCAAGCAGAACAAAAATGTCATGAAGCATTTTGTTGCAATTTTTGGCGATCACAGCAGTGGTAGATGTATCGCACGGAAGACGCCCTGTTGTCACGGTCATAAGTCGCTGCGCCTGTGTTTATGACAGAACCTAAGCGGAGAAAGAAAACTCTGCATTCAACTATTATCATTTCAAAAATTGCTGCACTCGTGACACATCAATAACTGCGGCATGCATCTGTCAGCGAGTAAGGCAAGCGTGAAAAAGTTGCAATATCTTCTGGCCATTTCATTAGTTGCTTATGTTGATTCTGAGATTTGGCTAGCGTATAACACAGCAAAATTTAAGCGCACCTCAACCTAAAAATAACAGCAAGTGTGGTGTGTTACTGTGTTTATACATAGGACTCACGTGATTACTGCTCAACGGGATCAGGCCAAACTTGAACAATTTGGGCAGTTATTTTTGACTTTTTGGAGACCTGTTTGGCTACTTTTGTTCATTTTGTGCAGCGTGGTTTACTCGACTACCATGCTTGTGAGAGATTTTCTGTCACTAAAATTCTTGCTAAGAGAGATAAAACTATGATCGTGTTATAATCGTATTCTGTGTGGTGGCACATGCTGATTTTTAAAGGTTTTCAATTTCGATTCTAGCAAAAAAGGTATTTGTTTGCTTCGTAAAATTTGTCACCTCAAAACCTCACCGCGAAGTTTAGGTCACAGCACAACTAAAAGCCGCGGTCTCATGCCGGGTCAGATGTGGTAGTTTGCCGGGTAGAAGGGCTGCTTCTCTAGTGCCTAGCCCCATACAGGACCAGCCCAGCGCCTCGTCATGCCGGATTTGCTCTTGCCAGTAAGGCCCGAGTATGCCACTCGTAGAACATCAATCGCCAGTGTACGCTGTTGGCCATATGCCATAGAGAAATAGTCATAATTCGTTCTGCAGATCAGGGGTGGTGATTGAACACAGCAACCACTGCCGTGAAGTCACAGCATGACTGGTCAGAAAAGGCGAGTGGTTCGGACTGCAGCGTGCTGCGAACGCACGCGCAGGACGTCACGGGCCGTGCGAGAGGTTACTACGTCAGAAGTCACGGGCACGTCTTTATACGTCGAGTTTCTTTCACCCACATTATCCAAAAACTCGGTTGGTTATTTTTGGCATGCTCATTGTTCGCACATGCCGCGGCGCATTGCTGATCCCCACCATTCGCGGAGAATAAGTGCCTCGCCCACACCTGCATACACTGCATGAGTGCACGCAGGTACTCTAGTGTTCCAAGCTGAAGCTTAAATAGGGATGGAGCGTAGGCCTGGACGTCCACTACAGCCCACGCTTCCCAGCTGGCTCCGACTCGCAAATCCTCGCCGCCCGTGTCAAGAGCGTCACCTGTCGCGCCCAGGTGCTGCAGGGCGGTCGCGTACCAGCGGTCCGGTGTGGCGCGCCCCCGGCCTCCGTCCACCTCGCGGCCCGGCCGGCCAGTTGATTGGCCGTGTGCCGTGCGGGTCAGACCGGCGCCAGCACGGCTCACGGGGGCGGAGTTAACCTGCTAGGTGCTGGCCGGCCGGCCAATCAGCTGACGCCGCCCGACCAATGGCAAACACTCAGTTGTCTCTGCGGGCCCAAGGTAAAAGGTGTGCGTGCCCGGGCAGAGCGCCGCCGTGCACGGCACGTACGACAGCAGGTCGGCTCGCTGGGTGTGGACAAGGCGTCGTGGGCAGCATGCCAGCCGGCGTTTGAGACGCAGACACGGCGAGCGCGGCGCGCGGCCCGGTCCAGCCAGCCCCAGTCACCGGTCGGTTACGGTGCGATCAATAGGCCAGCTCGGCACGCCATGAACGTGGGGGCCGCCGGCAAAACGGGAGGTGCCAGCGGCCGTCGCAAACAGGCCAAGCCGCAGCGGAAGAACGGTGAGTACTTGGGGCCGGTGCCGCGGCCTGTGCATGCACCGGCACTGGCTGACGGCGGTCCGGGCGCGCCGGCCGGCTGCGCGCGCCGCGCGGCCGCTGGCCAGCCGCGTGCCGCCACCGCCGCCGGCCTCGCACGCTTTGGGCAGCCCTTCCCCGCGGTCCGCGCTGTCTGGCCTGCCGATGACCCCTGGCCGCCGATGGCTCAGCGGACAGCCGAGATGAGCGGTGCTGATTGGTGGGGCGATCGGCAGCGCCTCCAGGGTCACCATATGGGCGGCCAAATTCGCAAAACAAAAACAAATTTCAAATTGTGCGCATTTCGGTGATCAGTTGCCGCTATGATCACGCGATGTCACCTGGTTGTGTTGACTCGGTTGGAAAATTGGCATTTTGACGCCCCATTTGTGTGTAGATGTGATGAGTGTGTTGGTTGTTTCAGTAGCTGTATTGGCGAATGTTGTTCTATTTGTTAAGGTTATTACTTGTGTTTTGATGTCATGGCTTATGTTTTGCTGTGCTCCGCTGGCAAGGTATTTTGCAGCTAACACCAGTGGTCTGGTCTTGAAATTGCGTTTGGGCCGGGGCTCACTGAAAACAAGGGCAGATGATAACCATCCTCAGGTAGCTTATGGCAAACGATTTATCAACAGGAGTGCAGATTTTCAGACCATGTTCGGGGGTCTTCCCTGGATTTAGAAGTTTAGGGCAAATTCAAATGCCATGTTTTCACTGGATTTACGCCAATGTTTTGTTTTTTTGAAGAAATTGGAAACTATGTCGTATACTATTGATCTTTTTGCCATTCTGCGTGGATGTCCATGCGCACTGTTTGCAATGGGAATAGCTCTCTGGCGGGTGGGGATCTAAGCCACTTCCTGTTCGTCCCTTCCCCTTAAAGTTGAAGCAAGGGAGGCTAAATGTCCTTATAAAAGTAATTGTCAATGCTGAACCAATGTAAATTACTATTCAAAGAATTTGTGGGACGCTTTCTGTGTGGTTACAATTGATGTATGATTGCAAAAAGGTTTCTTGCATGTCGAAAAACGTTCCAATATACTCACCGTTAAACAATCAGCATGTTGTCTTGAGGCAGATTATTAAAGCGTTCGGACTTCCTGTGGAAGCTTCGGAACACTAGTGTTTACATGATGTTGACCGTAATGTTGGCTCCATGTACCTCACCTTAGTCATAGTTTTAGCAAATGGTAGTATTCTTAGTGTTTTTCCAAAATAGGCAGCCTCTGCAACAACTGACGCTCCATAAAAAAATGCGCGGTGATATGCGCTGGTTCCCTAAACCCACAACGCAGAACATGGCGAATGTCAGTCAGAGCATGGTGTCTTATTGATCCGAAATGAAATTGATTGGTTTTGTACAACATGTAAATATACTTTTCGCAACGAGACGACAATTCTTGAGGAACATATGTCCTGTATCACCTATCAAAAATCATATGCAACATGTTAGTTCGTACCTCGTGTAAGCTGCTAGCACTGACCTTTTTTTAATGAGTGGTGTTTTGTATTCCTATTTTTGTATGCTGCAATGGACAACAAATCACTGAATGTCTACTTCATGTGAGGGATACGTCAAGGCGGCCAATACAGCTTCAGTTGGACGTCTGTTGTCCCAAAGGAAGGTAATTAATGTGTCAAGATCATTAACATAATAACCGTACGGTGCGCCATTCTCTTGTACGTGCTCCACAGGGGCGTGGTTTCCCAAAATAAGTTTTGATGAAGGACCGAGCAGGGAAAAAGACACTGCTGTTTGAAAACAAAAAAAAAGTTTCAACCCGAATTCGACCCAGTTTTCTCTTAAAGTTGAGGGCTGGCGCATGGGCAAGTGAAGTTTCTCCGAGCTTGAGGTCGACAGCGATCCTAAATTATTTTTGTTGGACTTCTTTTCAGTCCACGCCGATACGACTTACGAAAAAAGAAATGGGTGGGGTTCAGCCCCTCCCCTTGCCTTGCGCCTCTGGGATTGACGCCCCCCCCCCCCCCTCCGTATAATAGGAGACTACATCCCTGGTGCCGCGTGGTGCCAACGCGCCGCAGTCCGTTTTCGTGAACTGTCCCCAAAGGATAGCATGGGATAAGTGTTAAAGATGTCGTGCACGTGGTTGCCTTCCCCATTTAGAAAACTGGGTTTGCTGCTGGGTCATTTGGCGGATTCCCCGGCGTGTCCTATACGGTGGATTTATGGAATTATTTCAAAACCTCGTGGCGCCCATGATTTGTGCTCGGTATAGGTGCACCAACTGAGATCAGTCCAGCCATCAAGGTCTGCATTCTTGTTGACCGTTAAACCTGCGTCAGCTGGCGAGGGATGACTGTGTGCAAGGACCGCACCGAGCAGTCTAAGGCCAACTGGCCTGGCAGACTGGGAACGGGAACTGGCGCCTCGCCAGCGGTTCTGTGCAGTGTTCAGCTCTCCGCGGTGCCCTGTCCACTGACAGCGCAGGTCTCAGGGGGACGCTGCCTCTCGGGCTCTTCACCCCACCCGACAGCGGCGGGCTAGGGCCGTGTCCACCTCTAGCGCCGGTCGTGTCCACCTCTATGCAGGCGCGTCCCGCGCGGCGGCCGTGACGCGGCCTGGCGGCGCCCCTCCCCCTCCCCTCTGGGCAGGTGACGTCACCGGTCGGCGGTGCCCCTCCTGGGCGGGCATCGATCGGACCGGGCCTCCGGGCCAGGCCCGGTTGGGGTGGGTCCGACCAACTGGCACCGGACCTCCGGGCCGAGCCGCCCGCGCCGCCCGCCCTCTCCCCGCCAGCTGCCGCCGCCAGCCCTCACAGAGCCGCGCCGAAGCGGTGTGCCGTGGTGATGAAGATTGGTTTTGTGAATCGTGCTTTAGTCATTAGATTTTTGATGCGCTCCGGGATTACGCTGGGTGCCGTGTCAGGGGCATATGTGGACGGAGAAGTTCAGTTTAATGTATTAAGCACGATGCACAAATGTCTGATGTAAAGCGTGGACAAATCGAGGTGTGTTACTTATGTAAGTTGTTCAATACAGCTGCGAGGAACGTATAGGATGCGAGAGAGGTAGACGAGAGTATGCATGAGAGCAGTACTAATGATATTATTCTCCTTTGAATAACCAGGTGAAAAAGAGAAATTATTGATGCGCTCATACCTTATTGTGTCAACAATGTCTTGCAGCCGAAATATTATTGGATCTCTCTTTTTTCTCCCAGCTTTTCAACAATGAGTAAGACCATTGGTACTGCTTCTAAATCAACGAATAGTCATAGGAAGAGGGGATAGGGGAAAAACAGAAATCATGGCCTCTACTTTTCGTGAATGTTCGACGCTAACCCCATCAAGGGCGTAGCCAAAAGGGGCACCACTACCCCCTCCCACTCCCCCTGAGTAGATAGTTTTTCTAGATCCTCGATGTTTTCGCTGGAATTATGTCAAGTTCGCAAGATTTCGGAGCAATATTGGCGTTTGCTCCCCCCCCCCTCCACAAAGAAAATTCTGACTACGTGCCTATGCTCCAGGGGGGGGGGGTGGAGGGAAATAATTTCCCGAAAAGGTGTATCTCCGTACGGTGTTGCTACATTCTTGAATACAGAAAAGGAATACAGAAAAGGCATCGATAGACGGCCAAAGCACAGGGGGAGTGAAGGGAAAACTTCCGCTTCGGATGAGCTTGAGCCAGTCCAAGCTGCTCGCTGTGTTTGGGACAGGCTGCCCTGCGCCCTGTCTGGCCCGCCTCTGAGAGGAGTCGTGTCTCGTGCGTTGCGCCGGCTGTCCTCTGTCCTGTGTCGCTTGGAGAAACACCGGCTCACGTACTTCACTTTTTCCGTCGTATGTTTACATAGCTCGTCCGTTCTAGCAGATTTCTAGTGCGGGTCCATCCGCCCGGACTGAATGGGGCCCACTTGTCCTGTTTCACAAACGTGAAGGTGCAGCGGCCTGTCCTCTTTCGTTCGTCCGCTGGCGGCGAGGAATGTTATTGCGCATAAACACTCGTTTTTGTGACCAGGGACCGTCTCAACACGAGGGCCACCATCTTTCCTCGACGGGTTCTCAGACATCCAGCCCAGTGCGTTATGCGGTGCCAGGGAGAAAATCCTACCTCCTTTCATTTACATCCGCGAAAATCATGCAACATTTTCTCCCAGAGACGTTGAGAATATTGCTGATATGAGTGGTATGAATGCATAATCCCCATATGTGATACATATTTTAGATGTATCGAGATGTGCACTTGAAAATGGTGAGAAGCATCTCAAGAGCGTCTGGTATAACAACGTCCGCAGTTGAACAAAGCTGTAATACCATAAAACTGGTGTTACTTGATGTATTGCAAGCCATCCACCAGTAAAGACTGAGACACAACCCGTGGCTTGTAAGATTCTGTTTTTACCTACCTCACTTTGATACGTACTGCGTCAGAAGCAGGACATTCTCAAAATCATTGGAGGGTACATTGGTGTTTCAGGCAAATCTCGCATGGGCCTATTCTTAAACTTCAGAAGTATTTGATGAGGTGGGGACAGTGCTGTCATATTGTATTGTTTCCGGGGGGCGTGGCCTGGGCTCCCATGCTGGCTTGAGCCCCTCAATGCCCTTCTGAGTCCCCTCCCTCAATGCATATGAGAAAAGACAATACTGGTCCAATGCAAGCAGAAAGTGTCTGAACTAGAGACGCAACTTCCTCCAAAATATCGGCCCGCAGCCCAGCCCGCCCCCGCCTGGCGATTGATCCAGCCCGCAAAAGCCCGCCATGCCACTGATCCGCCATTAACCCGCAAGTAGTAATTACTGTAAGATGCATGTTACGATTCCACCTGAATTTTAGACTTGTTTACGCACGGAACTAGAATTTAAGCACTGTGATAGCAGTTTTCTGTTACTAATGAGAAAGAAGTGGGTTGAAATGAAACTTGTCTTTCACCAAAACGCTCCAAAGCCTTTACCCCTCTACCTCATCTCAATAGACCAGGCCATTTCTTCTAAAATTACATACATTAACTGATTGCTTTGCACAGG